CTGCCTCTGAGCTTTCCCACACCCTGTTCACTCTGTCTAGATCACCCACACCTCTCTGCCTGTCTCTCTCATCTATCCTTTGTATCTCTTGTCACCAGTTAATTCCTCAGTGAGGCCTGCTCCAACCACACAATCTAAAGCTGGGCCCCTGAACTCTGATTCAGAGTATCCATTCTATTGCCTCATTGCATATACTACAATTATTTGCTAATTCTTTCTATGTCCTTTTATAATACCTGTCTTCCCCATTTAAGGGTCACGGAAGCAGTAACTACATGCATCTATAACCACGTATACTACGATTGGGAGAAATTATTAAGTCAATGGCTATGGCCCTTTACGTTCCTCTGGCTGCTAGCCTCAGCTTTCCTCTTTAGGGACACCTCCAGAAGGGGCATTCCTAGTAACTCTCTCATTGGGTCTGGGTTCACGACCGGCCATGGTTATCACAGGCTGTGCCCATGAGATGTCCAGGACTCAGATATGAGTCCGTGAACTCATGGTCCTGCACCCTCACGTTGGAAGAGCAACCTGAACTCTTCCCACCCTGCCAACCTGGGGCTGAAGAAAGGTCTTCTTGTGGAAAAAGTGCACATGGAAAACCATGCCCAGAGCACGGGTGTAAGACTGGGGACTTGCTACATAACCTCCCACCGGCCGACAGCCACAGCAGCTGCACCCAGCGCCTGGAGCCAGGTGGCTCTCTAGGGTGGCCCAGAATGTGTCATAGAGGTGCCAAGTGCAGCAGTGTGTGCCCTGGAGCTACACCACCTGGGTCAAGTCCTCGATTCACCATTTACCAGCTGTGCGACTTCTGACGTTTCTAAACCTCTTTCTTCCACCTTCAAGTGGGGATGGCAGTCTCATATAACTGTGAGGGTTAAGTGAGTTAATACATGCAGAGTGCTTACAACAGTACCTGGCACAGAGTATGCCCTCAGACGTTAGCTGTTATTCCCAGTGATGGGGGTACAGCTCTTTACATCCCACAGCCTGAACAGTAGGCTTTCTGGGCCAGGTAGGTTTGGATGGTCATTGTGGAGAGCCAGGACCAGACTAGCCATAAAAAGCTAAAAACACTTGGAAGCACCACTCTGGCCACGTCTTAGTGACAGCTAATTAGATAAGCAGGCAACACAAATGCAACTTGTACATCTTAGAACACCAGGTACTTTCCTGATTTTCAGAAAGACACACTGATGAATAAGTCTTATGGCAACAATTTTTTAAGGACAGTGATGTGTGGCATGCAGGGTAACACACAGAACAAGGAGGGGTGCATCTGGGCGACCAAATCTTGGCACTTGCAGAGAAGCATTAGCACAACTGAGAAGTCCTCAAGTGATGGCAAACAATCAAGCCTTGTATTTTTTTCCCTTCATAAACTGGTATAAAAATATTAAAAGTAAAAATATTACCAAAAATATATTTAGCAGAAGTTGAGGTGGGCCAAGAAGCTGGGAAACCTCCCACTGCAGGATGGAGTAGGGCAGGCGTCTTTTGTCTCCATGTGGTCCTGCAGGCTAGTCCAGCAGTACACGGGAGGGCAGTGAAAGGTGCAAAGGCAACAGGAAGGAAAAGAGCGCAATCAGACAGCTGGAGGCTGCCCACTCTTGGATTAAATTCATGGTTAGGGGAATTGTTTTCTCAACCAAAGGCATGCATGCAGTTTAGGGCTATTTTTTTCCAAGACTGCAGCTCAGGCACAGTAATCTGGAAGCCCGAGTCTGCTGCAGGGTCAAGGTGCCACTGTAAAAGCAGTTACTGGATATGGAAGGAGGCACCATCTCAGGGCGATGCTGCTGTCAAAGCTGGGCAAACTCAGGTGGACGGGGAGAACCTAGGTGCAAAACCAATCAGCTGGAGATGAGGAAGACCTGACGGGAGAGAGGGACTCGAGGGACTTGAGAGGGGAAATGTGGAGCAATTTTTTTTTCCTCAAGAGCAGACGGTTTCAGTGGCTGTTCATGGGAGCCCGCAGGCATTGAAGAATATGACAAAGCCAAGATGCTAATCTTATACTCAAACCCTTCCTCTGGGCAGAGTGGGACTGGTACCTCCAGTGGCTTTGCCCACTGGACAATTCCAAAGTATGCCAGGAGAGCTCTGACGTGGGAGGTGGGTCCCAGGTCTGCTTCTCTGGCTCATAGTTTTTCCTTTAGTCCAGAGAGGCAGGTGAGGAGACTGGCTCGCACATAAGTTCAGCAGTTCCTCTGCCACACACAGATTTGTCATCTTGAGATGGCATAATTGTGGGTGTGCTGGCAAGTTTGTGCACTATGTGGGGTAGGAAGGAGTGGGGCATCGGCTGGATGTGCTGAGGATGGCACATTACCAGCTTGTAAACTCTGTAACCCTGAAGGGTCCCAAACAGTGGTCCCCACCTTCTGTCACAGTCAGTGTCTACGTGGTCAATCAGTAAGATTAGAAAAGTGAGGTATGCAATGAACGGCTTTTCCTAGAAATCTCTGGATGTCTTAGGATTAACATGGCTGAGGGTGGGCTAAAGTCCCTCCCAGTAATTGCTGAAATCTTGCCTAACACCATGCAGATCAGTTGGCAGAAGAGAAGGTGGCTGAGGATCTCTATTTCAGGGTTTTCAAAAATGTATTTTTAGGGGTGAGCCAAAGGCGATGCTGGGGCAGGTCAGACTGCCCAGGCAGAGAGCCATACCACTTCACATTAGAAAAGTACAGAATAGCACCCAGGAAAATGCTGATGCCCTCAGATGAGAAGGTCACACAATAAGGTGCTAATCATACGGCAGAATATCATAAAGCCACTGCTAACTGCCTGCTCCAACAGCATTACCATGAATGTATCCAGGTTGGCCCAGGATCATCTAGTAGGTCGTTTGTTTACTTTTTGCCTTCCCAGACAGGGATGAGTGAATCGGCATCTCAGAGGTCTCCTTCCATGAAGACTCAAGCCTGACTGGAGGTGGGCTCAGGGACATGGACTGCAATCTTGGATGGAGGGCCTTCGGACTGCACTGACTCTGGGGGAGGAACAGCTCCTGGAGCTCTCACTGGGATGAATGAGGCCCTTCCAGTGGCAGCAGGTCTTGGCCCAGCTCAACTGCAGGCACAGACCAAGTGGCAATAGCTCTTATTAAAAACAAACAAAATGAACCACAACTCGGCTTAGAAACGTGTTTCTCAGGGACTCAAGGTGAGAGGGTGATGGGTGGGACCAGGCAGGCCACATGGATAGTACTGAAGGCAGGTATCTGTAGCAGTGAGCAGCTTCTCAAGTTTACTGTGGAAGCTGGGCTTGTCAGCTGTGAGGCTGCAGATGAACACGTGTGGGCTCAGGGCACAGACAGTCCCAAGGAACCTCTTGAAAGGCTGCTTCACCTGTGCAACAGGGGAGAAAGTCTAAGTTGCTGATCACCTAACAGGAGATGCCTGCCCACACAAGTGGCCTTTATTAGGTGGAAGACGAATTTAAGGACTTTGGGCTTTAAAGATGCTGGAAGCTTCCAAGTCTATACTCACTCTGGAGTTCACTGATTCCATCATGATACAGAATATCCTCTTCTGTAACTTGGAGCTGAGATGCAGCATTTGTAGGAGCAAGCAGACTGCCCAACCTGATGGATAGCACTTCCACAGATCAGACCTGCCACTTCACCTCCCAGAATGATAGTTTACTTTCTCTTCCAGCTTCATTAGGTGGTGTGTTCCAGCCTGCAGTAGTGCGGCCTCCCCACGGTTTGTGGAGGGGAAGGGGAGAGTGCCACCAGAGGCTATGTGTGAAGGCACAGAGACGTTATTTTATCTGTGATTTCCACTGAAAGCACTGAAGGACTAAAGACGGTGAAAGAACTGTACCTGCAGGACTAGAGTCTCACTCAAACTTCTGGGCATGGACACTGCCCCTGCCAGAGAATGTCACAGTGCTGTTGACCACTTCTTGTCCCGTGGAATTACTCAACATGTTGCCCACCACTGTCAGGACGGGATAGTTTTTAAGTAGTGGAATACCTAGCTGGAGGAGAGGAAATGGCCACTTTCAAATGCAAAAGCAGAAATTCAAAGCTCTCTGCTTTTCTTGTGAACATAGAATTAATACCTTCAGAAAACTGGACAAAAGCAGGGCAAGGACCAGGATGCAGCAGTTCAATATTCTGGGAGCAACAAATACACTTTAATGCTGTGGACACAGAGGACTGCCCAGCTGAGGGAAAGTAGGTCAGAGCCTTCTGAGAACGGGCCTTGGGACTCCAACCTTTCATGTCAGTTGCACATCAGGAAATGGCAAGTCACAGAAGTGGAGGTGGCCTAGGACACCACTAGGTGTTTGGGATCATCACACCTGAAGCTGAGCATGCCCGTCTGCTGTGTGTAGAGTGAATGCAGTGCAGAAACGGAGGGTAATGTCCACACAGACTAAACCCCTACTTTAGGTATCACCCCAGGGTCAGAGTCGAGCTGAGGCCCGGAGGAACTAGGTAACTGAAGAATTTTAATCAACCTCTGCCTCCCAGACAGAGGTCCCAAGTTATGAAAGCAGAGTTTGGCTGCAATATCCAGAATCATGGACTGTATATGAGATGAGATCACCACACTCCCCAAGGGCAAATGGGGTAGTAATAATGACACAATGTTACTACTTAGGAGTTGCTAAACCAAAAGAGGGACATGCCATTCAAATGAATTGTCCCAGAGGAGAATACAGGTGAGAAGCAGTGGACACATAGACCAGGGAGATCTGACAACAGACGGCTTGAAGCTGAAGGTCGGGAGAATAATTTATATAAGTCCTGAGCGGACCATGGGTGACTGCACTTCTTTACACTGGGTGTCAGGAGTGTGGGTGAGGAGAACAAAGGGTTCTACTGAAGGTGGAAACCCTCTTATATGAGAGAATCAAGTAGAGTAAAACCCTTGTAGACCATTTTCTTACTTTTTTGTTCCTTTGCATCTCAACTTTAATTTTTACAACTTTATAATTTGTCTTAATAGTTAAAATGTAAATTTGATAAACCATTTTCTAGGTTGTTAATGAAGCTCCATTTTGATTCTGATACTTGGTAATTCAAACTAATTAAACAGTACTGCTGTTCAGTTGAGGCTGTACTGAATTATGGCGTGTTTGCCATTCCTAAATTGTGAAAACCCACAATATTGTGAAGGTTGACTCTCAGTAAATAAAATGACTATCCCCAGGTAAGCGTTCATAGTTATTCTCTAGAATGGATTCTCTTACATTAAATACCTAATATATTCAGTCTCAAAGCTTCTCCATCTAAACTGCAGTCACATCACTTTTCTCCAATATGATGCCTCTGATGCTGAATTAGGTTGGCAGTCTGGTTGAAAGCTTTCCCACATTTATTACATTTATAGGGTTTCTCTCCTGTGTGAATCCTCTGATGTTGAGTAAGGTGTGTGCTTCGGATAAAGGCTTTCCCACAGATCTTACATTTGTAGGGTTTTTCTCTCGTATGAATTCTCTTATGTTGAGTAAGGGCTGAGTGGTCACTGAAGGCTTTCTCACATATGTTACACGTGTAGGGTTTTTCCCCAGTGTGAATTCTCTGATGCTGGGCTAGGGCTGATTGGTCCCTGAAGGCTTTCTCACACAAACCACATCTGTAAGGTTTCTCTCCAGTATGAATTTTCCGATGTCGAGCAAAGGATGAATTATCCCTGAAAGCTTTCCCACATTCGCTACACTTATAAGGTTTCTCTCCAGTATGAATTCTCTGATGTTCAGTAAGGGAAGAGTTCACTCTGAAGGCCTTTCCACACTCATTACATTCAAAGGGCTTCTCTCCAGTGTGAATTCTCTGATGCTGAAGAAAACTTGTACTCTGATTGAAGGCTTTCCCACATTCATTACATTTATAGGGTTTCTCTCCACTGTGAATATTCTGGTGTTTGGTAAGATGTGCCCTGCATACAAAGGCTTTGTCACATATGTTGCATTTAAAAGGTTTCTCTCCAGTATGTATTCTATGATGGTGGGCAAGGTGTATGTTTCGGATAAAAGCTTTTCCACATAAGTTGCATTCGAAAGGTTTCTCTCCAGTATGTATTCTATGATGGTGGGCAAGGTGTATGTTTCGGATAAAAGCTTTTCCACATAAGTTGCATTCGAAAGGTTTCTCTCCAGTATGAATTTTCTGATGATAAGTAAGCGAGGAGCTCACTGAGAAGGCCTTGCCACATTCTTTACATTCATATGGTTTCTCACCAGTGTGAATTCTTTGGTGATGGATAAGGTGTGTACTCTGGTGAAAGGCTTTCCCACATTCTCTACATTCATATCGTTTCTCTTTAATAAGAGTTTTCTGATTTGCATTAAGTCTTTCAGTATGAATTTTCTGATGTTTATTAAGGGTTGAACTTTTAGTGAAGACTTTTCCACACTCACTACACTCAAAGGCTTTTTTGCTAGATTGAAATCCCTGACTTTGAACGAAAGATGAACTCATGGTGTGCTGCTTCCCAGATTCATCACATTCCTGGTCCCTAACCGCAGATGAGGTTTTCTGGTGAAAGGGTACCACTTGCTGCAACTTTATCTCCTGGCCTCCATGCTGCCATTCCGACAGGCTGTCATATTTCCAGTTACTATCTCTAGTGAATCTTTCCTTTATAATCCACTGATCCAATTCTTCTCCAGGAATATCTGCCTTGAGAGTAGATTTCTTACTCACAGGCATAGTCATCCAGTCTGAAAGACACCAAAAATAAAAATGTCTGTTTTATCCTAGTAAAATTTCTAGTTGGGATAAGAAGATGAGCCTGTTTATAATGTTAACCAAGAGGTTTCAGTTTTGAAGATTTCTTGAAGTGAAGATAACAAAGGAAAGGAGAGGAGATGTGAACAGAGGACATGGCATGAAGGGGGTGAACTAATGTATAATGTATAGAGCAGGAGACCTCGAGAGCTTGAGTGCAGAAGTCACAGGCCTGGTTGGGATCCTGAGTACAATACTTATTCTCTTTGTGATTACAGAGAAGTTACCTGACTTCCTAAGCCTCAAAAAAAATCTATTCAGTCCACACTGTGCTAACAGATAAGAAAAAATGTACCTTGTTTATTTTAGTGATATGGTCTTTAAAGTAGCCCAGATATGGCCTTAAGAAACCATTGAAACTAGAGGTCAACACTTGGTAGGAAAAAATTCAGTTCCAGACTAACTGGAAACCAACATTTTTATATTTTATACTCATTTTAGCAGTCAGGTGGATAATAAAAAGGCTACTGTAAAGGCTATGTGAAACACTCATATCTACTAACAATATTAGGACCTCCTGCTACTGGTGAGAAAGCAATGTTTTCAAATCTATATGAATAATGTGACATCCATATGAGGAAAATGTACTGTGAGGACATATACGTGAGCACAGAAAATCAGGAAGAAAGCAGCAAACCTGCCAGGATTTCCAGCATGTCTAGGAGGGAGAGGCCCTGAATCTGGGGAAAGGACTCCACTAGTCACCAGAAATCGGACTCTTCTACTGGGCTAGGAGCCATAGTCCCATGAATTATCTGACAAAATGACTCCTCTCCCCACACACAAATTCCACATTTACTCGACAACTGTCTCACTTGGTTTCCTGGGTACCTCGATGTTAAGAAGTAGAGTTCTGAATTGCACATCAGTTTTCCATATGTATTTGTGAATATCTGCCTTTTTTTTTATTGATGTTTTAATGGTTTCTAACATTGTGAAATTTTTGGGTTGTACATTTTTGTTTGTCCATCACCATATATATGACTCCCTTCAGCCCCTGTGCCCACCCCCCACCCCCACTGCCCCTGGTAACCACAGTCCAGTTTTCTCTGTCCATGTGTTGCTTTATATTTCACATATGAGTGAGATCATACAGTGTTTGTCTTTCTCTTTCTGGCTTATTTCACTTAACATAATACGCTCCAGGCCCATCCTTGTTGTTGCAAATGGGACGATTTTGTCTTTTTTTATGGCTGAGTAGTATTCCATTGTATATATATACCACATTTTCCTAATCCAATCATCAGTCGAGGGACACTTAGGTTGCTTCCACTTCTTGGCTATGGTGAATAATGCTGCAATGAACATAGGGGTGCATAAGCCTCTTTGGATTGTTGATTTCAGGTTCCTTGGATAGATTCCCAGTAGTGGGATGGCTGGATCATAGGGCATCTCTATTTTTAGTGAATATCTGGCTTTTATGTCAAGTCTTTTAAGACTTTGTACTAAGAAATGCAAGGATAAGGACTAGATACTAAACACAGATGATGCAGAGGTTCCTGGGAAATCCTATCAAGAACAAGCCTCCTTCATCACTTTTTTTCCTACTTACTCCAGAAAATCTACAAAGAGCTACAATCAAAAAAATAATCTCCTTTATTTATCTGAATAAGAAAGACAAATAGGTGTATTTTAAGGCTAAAATTCTGGTGAGCTCAGAATAATATATCCTTGCTCAGAATAAAGAATGGTCAAATTACACCAGTACTGCCAAATCTGAAAATCTTAAGGACTGACTTTCACTTCTGGACCTGACAAAGTAGCCTGTGGCAAACCAACATTCTTGCAGAAAACATAGGAAAATCTGAATTATAAAAAAAAAAAAAAAAAATTCTGTCTAAAGGCATGAGATGTCACTTGAGGCCAACTTGACAGGCTAACATTTGGGAGAGAAGGGAAACACAGAGAGGTGATCCCAACACTTAGTGGCTTTTTCCTCATAGAATTTGCTGAATTCTTATGCTTCTCAGGGCAAGAGACTAAAGCTAAGCAGAAATTCAGAATTTTCTATAGCCTCATGCTACTGTGAAGCCAAAATTTGGAGTTCAGGACTCTCTAAAGAAGGAGGGTAGTGGTCACAGGAAATGTGATGCTCTCCGTTGGGACTCCTGGAAGGCGACGACCTAGGAGTAAGGGCAAACAAGAGAAGGGCAAAGCTTTACAAACTCTGCAACCCAGTCTCCAGCCAACAAGTCACTGGTGGGATTAAGGTGGTTTGCGTGCACTCTAGCTGCCCACCAGAGGAGGAGGTAACTCTTCTCTGGAGGAATACAGCATCATCCAGAGCCTCTTCACTCCTTCACATATATGTCACACATAAGGGATTCAATCCAAAAGCACCAGGAGTACTAAGAAACTGAATCAAGAGAAAAAACAGATAATAGAGCAGGACCCACAGAACTGAGATACCAAAGTTATCAGACACGGATTTTATAATAAGTATAATTAATATGTTCAATAAAACAGATAAGAATGAGAATTTCAACGGTGGATTGGAAACAAAGAATCAAATGAAAATTCTAGAACTGAAAAATATGATAATTGAAATTAAGAACTCAATAGATTGATTTAACAGTATACTGGACATAGCAGAAGAGAAGAATAGTGAACCAGAAAAACACATAAGCAGAAAATATCCATGGTAAAACTTGGAGGAAAAAAATTTAAAAAGAGACGTATAAGTCATAGTGAAAAGGTTGAACATATGTGTGACTGGAGTTCTGGAATGGGAGGAAGAAAAGAATTGGGCAAAAACATTATTTCAAAAAAAAAAGGCTAAAAATGAATTTGAGAAGCAGTCTAGACTTCAAGCAGAATAAACACAAAGAAAATCCACCTAGGCACATCACAGTAAAACCAATGAAAACCTAAGACTATCTTGAAAGTTCCTTGAGAGAGAAGAATACATTACCTTTAAAGGAGGAAAAATAAGACTGACAGTTGTCTTTTCAACAAAAACAATGGAAGCCAGAAGACAATGAAGTAACATCTGAAGTGTTGAAAGAATGTAATTGCCAAACTACAATTCAACAGAAAGAAAATATCCCTAAAAAGTGAATATGAAATAGATATTTCCATATGAATAAAAACAGATTGTGTCACCAGAAGACCCATATTAAAAGAAACAATAACAAGAGTGCTCCAGGCAGAAGAAAAATAATCCCAGGTGGAAATGTAAGAAGGAACGAAAAGCAACAGAAAGAGTCAATATGTGGGTACATGAAAATATTTTGGCACAAGACAATAATTATAATGTCTTGAGATGTTGAAAACACATATGTTAACTAAAATACATAGCAAAAATAACACAAAAGGTGGAAGGAAGAAAATGGAGTTAATGTCTTAAGGTACTAGCATTGTCTGGGAATTATTAAAAGTAAAAATTTATTTTGGATAGTAATAAGCTGGTTTTACTTATTAGACTTACCTATAAAAGACTAGTTAAAGAAAGTATATAAACGGGGCCAGCCCTGGGGTGGTTAAGTGCGCACACTCTGCCACTGGCGGCCAGGATTCGGATCCCGGATGCACACCGATGCACTGCTTGTCAGGCCATGCTGTGGTGG